ATTTTCTTTACAATATCATCTTTACAATACCTCGACAGCAAATATCTGTATCCCATTACAGTTGCTTATCACATCATACGGTGTTAGTGAGTATTACATTCATTTAAGTCACCGGCCATATTTACATTCCTTTCTTTCAGCGGTTGTGACAGGGTGTGCCACGGTTTATTACATTTCTGAGTGCTTTTTTTGTGTACGGCTAGCCCGTATATTTTCAGATCTGATGAAATTCATTTGCAGGAACTATCAAGCCTTGTCTCATGCAGTATTTGTGCATATTGCTGCGTTCTTGCTTGTATGCCTTATGGTGTTCGTGCTGTCCTATCTAGGTAGTCTTCCAATGGTTGCCACACTTTGGAAAGTGCAAATCATTTGTTTTTCAAATTGCTAGTGCTTAGTATATCAAGCTAATTTTGTTCTATATCATTGCTACAGAAAAGCAGTTCAAAACAGTTTTATTAAAACATATCAATAAGACTTGCTACATTCACAGAATGAGACTTTATCGGATTTGAGGCTCGTAAAATTTATTTTTTTAAAATGTTAATAAAAAAGTATCTTTGGGTTACTGTGGCATGGTTATTCCTCTTTAATTACAATGCTTTCTTCAGCTCTTGTATTTTAAAGTAATTTTGGTTAATTGTCTCACTTTTAGTATGATATAAGTCAAAAATAACATATGACATCATGAAGTTGCCTGTAGGCATTTGTAACATAATCACTTCTATTTGGAATCTCTTTATCAGCTTTTCAGAATGTTATACTTGTTACTACACTAATTATTCAATTATATATAGGTTTTAAATAACCAATGTTTATTTGTATTATTATTTGCCATATTATACATTTCCAGAATCAGTGTCATGCTCCTGGGCAGGTCAGAGAGGATACGATTGCAAGGGTTACTGGTTAAAAAAACTTTGTCATATTAGACATAACAAATTTACTGAAATAAATAAAGTGCAGTCTGCCACAAATAGAATACTTTTAGAAAAACAGGGTTTAGGCGATATGCCACAAACAAGATCTTTAGAAAGTAAATGAATAAAGTATTTTGTATTCAAGCAAGCTTGAAGTTATACCAAGTAGTTAAGGATTTTCAGGATACTTTGCAATGCAGTTAGTTATAAGTAAATACCTTTTAGGATAAGGCAATACAGGATCATGCAGAGTTGCAGAGGTTGAAACAGGTAGGTATATTCAAAAATAATATAATGCAGGTTGCTTACGAGATCATGCAGTGATGCAGCAATTGAAGCAGTTAAGATTCTTCAATGACGACAATACGCCACAAATCAGGATTCTTGGAAGCTGATAAGGAAAGTCTTTCGGTAAGATGTAATTCAGGCAAATTCAGGATGAAGTAATACAGGTTAGTGCCTTTCAGTATGAGGAAATGCAGATGAGTACAGGATGAGGCAATGTAGGTAAGTTCTCTACAGAATGAAATCATGTAGATAAAATACAGGATATTACCAGGAACATTCTTTATCAGAGCATAGACTTCAATGTCCAGGCACTGTTGTGTGCTGGGAGTAGACTTATCAAGCCTCATCATTAGTTAATCCAGGTGAGGATATTAAGGTGAGTGAATAGATTAGTGGCTAGGGAGGCCACTAGAGAAGAAAATCATGACGTTCACTTAAAGGTCCAGTAATAAACGAAAAAGTCTTACATGTCAGTTTTGAAACCTGACAATCAGAATGACATTCACACAACATATTTTAGTGTGTTGTCCACTTGGGTGTTGTGGATAATGGAAGATGATCAAAACTAAATTAATCATATTTAAAAATAAACTGATGTCTTTTTATTCATCTTATGGGTTGTGTCTGCCAAAAATATTCAAAAAAGTTTAAATCAATATGTTTATCTGTAGGTTTCTGAAATGGTTTTTACAATTATCCCCTTTATTTCATGATTGATTTATCTTATATACTTTAACAAAATAATTTTATATAAAATTATAGTATATGATAACATGTGCAAAAATTTTACCAACTGTATCAATTTCATCTGCAAAATTTTATTTTTTCTCTTTTAGGACTTATGATCATATTGTGTTTGCTACTAGTCAGAGACGTGGTCCCCTTGCTCACTGTGTCTAGAGTGGTATCAGCTACACCTTGCTGACAAGGCTCAAAGAAGTCCGAAACAATTGTTCGGAATTGCTGTAACTCTCGTGCAGAGAGAATTTGCCAGCATTTCAGTTCTAGACTGCTCTTAAGAATGGAATCAGTCTGATATACCTTGTAGTAGGTTCTCTAAGTAATGGCACAAGTGAGAAAAAAAACTATTTTGAGACCTGAGCAGGGATTTACCAAAATGCAAGCTACTGAGTTTCTCTAAGCTTTTATCTGTTCTCAAAATTCTCATATTGTTTGTTTTTATTACTAGATAGAGTAGATTCCCATGACTGCACAGTGCCTTCCTGGGCTGTCTCAAAAAGGACAAAACTGTGCAGTCTAACCTTGGCACTCAGTCCATTGGAATCCTATCATGTTTTTGCTATAAAAAGCTGTATTTTAAATTGTGTTAAATTGCTAAACCACATGCAGAAAAATGGGATGGAATGAAAAGTATTACCTGTCTATACTTATTTACATATTCTGCTGAGCATTCTGGGAAATTGTAAAAGCACAATTTTTCAGAGCCACTTTGTCGAAGGCAGACTTTTTCTAACATTTGCAATGGAATCTGTAGGTAATGTGCTACTGATCTATAGAAGAAATAAGGAGAGATAGACATTAAAGTTAAATAGCATAAGCTAACCACGATTCCAGGTGGTCTTATATGTAAATTACAAATACATAATGTTGCCATTAACAATACTTTTAGTGTATTCAAGCGTGAGAAGCGAATCAAGTGAATACATGCTGGAAATGACGACTTAAATGTAGCCAAGTAAAATAAAGTGGCCTACCATTATACACAGATGTTTTAAGATGAAGTATAATCATTTTACATTCTTCTTGTATTATGTATAAATGTATAGTAATATATTGTAGACCAATGTTGCATTAAAGAAATGTCAAAAATGGGTTTATAAGTTTAATGATCTGGAAACCTTGTTCATAGTTAGATAAAGGGTAGGTTCGTAGATACATTTAGAAAAACATTTTTGCCAGGTCTGAATATGTCAGTTTCTTAAATGCAAAAATAGGAAAAAGATGGATACACATATTACAGGACTATAGGATGACTGTACTTCATGAAACATAGACACCTCATGCAGAGTGGTAATTAATACGTGGTGGAGCATTTATCAAAGTGTTCTAAAAAGTGACATACTATTTTAGTCTAAAATTTTGGTTGCTCCATGCACTCAAGACCATTACACTCACACTAAATAAAATTCAAATACAATTTGAAATTATGTAGTAAAGTCCTAATTTCAGTCAGAATTTTTTAAATTCTGGAAAAATCGAACTAACTGAAGTGAGGTTTGTTTTTAATTCAAAGTAAATTTAAAGTGAATTTTAACTGGCATAACTGGCATGGAATTGCATCCTAATTATATAAAGGTTTATTCACTAAATAATGGAAAATCCTGTGAAAATGATTGAATTCTGAATGCATTGGCAATTCTCATATTTATTAAAGCCTAATGCGGTCCAAATTCAGTCTGCCAAGTGAATTTGCAGCAATTGCCCAAATTCCTTTGTGCTTTTGTATCCAAAACCTATAAGATGTATATAATTAAGAGTATTTACAAAGCACCAGATTTAATCAAATTTGGGACATAATGCTTCTGGACATAATGCACATTCACAAATTATCATTCACTTGCTTTTATGTATATGAATGAATTTGAAGTATTGTATGCCTATCTCTTAAAAATTTAAAACTAGCTACTGGGCAGCCATTACTGCCCAGTCACTAAAAATCCCATGGAAATAGGGCCTGTGAAATAAGCCCCTTACCCTGCGAACCTACCCGTTGCATGATAACTAGTTGGCAAAATAAACTGGGGGACCCTGGATCACACTACGAAATATCAACTATTCACATGCTATGCAATTATTTGGGAGGAGGGCAATAGCATGTCTCACTCTTGTTTTATTAATTACAGCCCCACACTCACTGCCCATGAGTAGGGATGACACTAGGTTTTCCACCCTGAATATTAATATTAGGGTCCCCACCTGCCACCAATGGGCTTAGACATGGGGAAGAGAGGGGGAGGCAAGAGATGAAGCAAAGGAGGGGGGAGGGGGGAGACTAAAAGGGGGGAAAGAGAGCTGGGCGGGGGGAGAACAAGTGGGGGATCTATACATGATAATCTGAGGCAAAAAATAAACGAGCCTGAGAAGACAAAACCCAGGCAAAGCCTTAAAGTGGTAGAGGGCCAGAACAGACACCACACCCACTAGCCACCAGCCAAGACCACACACACTAAGCAGTGATAGAGTGGGAGACATAGGTAATGAGGACCAAGAGGTGGACTGCTCTCCAGGATGGAATAATCAGCCCCACCACAAAATAGTACTAGGGGGATCTAACTGTTCATTCATTGTATATGTTAAGTGTAACATGCTCACCCAGAATAAGCACCACATCATCATCGCCTCCACGCGGTTCCTGACATATCCCAAGATACAAACCTGAAACCTCACGGGACCACACAAGGAAAAGGCACGACAGCCACAATGAGACTATGGAGTGAAAGAGGATTTAGGGACCCCAGAGGCGTCCCCCTCCCCCCCCGCCCACACAGCACCCGCATGAATGATACGACACAAGTTACGGGATAACACCACGAGACCCAACTTATACAGGGAAGTACCCTGATATCCTACCTGACCAACACAACTCACCAGTCTTACCGGTGAGAACTCGCCCCACCCTGCCAGATCCAAAGATAACACACATGCACCCCCTGCACCTGAAATACTACAAGGCATCAGTGGCATTCCTTCAGGAAACGCACTTCCAAGAAGGCAGGGCGCCAGCCCTGAAGGACCGCAACTTCCACACGGGATATTTCAGCCACAACCCAGACAGGCGCACACAGGGAGTATGCATCCTCTTCTCGAGATGAGTCCCATACACGGAGCAAGCAAGGACTCGATGTCCACACATGGAACTACACCACACAACAGATACGCCAACACGCTCCACCTCCTACACCACCACCAGCTGGCAGACTGCTGGAGAGCCCAATCCACATGCAGATGAAATCACCACTGTTCAAGCCCAGACAGATGTCATGGCATCTGAACGAATCGATGCTCTCCAACTCAATAGTAACGGACCAGATCAGCCACTATATACAAGACTACTTCAGGGACAATGAGACTGACGATTTGACCCCACTGACCTGTTGGGAAGCGCACAAGACTGTGTTGCGAGGTCAAATCATAGCAATCTGCGCAACCCGCAAGCAGACGGTGACACAAGAGATGCACGAACTCAGCAAAGAAATCGTGACCTTGGAAGCCAGACACAAACGCACTCTACACGCGACAGTCCTCAGAGACCTATTGGCCAAACATACCCAACTCACCACGCACCTCAACCGCGCGATCCAACGCTCATACCAACACTACAGGCACATAATACATGAACACTTGGACAAATGCGGGAGACTACTAGCAAACCTCCTAAAGCAACGCAGATCCCAATTATATAATTCGAAAATCAAGGACGCACAACAACGACTCAGACACCTACCGGACCAGATATCAACAGCATTCCACATCTACTACCAGGATTTATGCGGCCTCTATCGAACCACACTGGAAGTATCACGACCCCAAAGAGCGCCGACATCCACAGATATCTAGACACGGCGAACATCGCAGGAATAGAGGAGGTCAACCTGGAAGCACTAGAGGAACCTATCACACCTAAAGAACTGGTGCATGCCATCAAAAAAGCGAAAACGGGCAGGGCACCAGGACCGGACGGCCTGCCCCTCCAATACTACAAGACGTTCGCGCAAGACATCCTACCGAAACTCCTGAAAACCGTGAACTCCATCCAGGACCGAGCCTCACCAAACAGCCCAATTCACCTCGGCAAACTTCACCCTTCTCCCAAAGGAGGGTAAGGACCAGACACAATGCACGGGCTGCCGCCAGATCTCCGTATTGAACATGGATCTCAGACTTCTGGTGAGCATCCTGGCGTCGCACCTGGCACCATTACTACCCGCCACAATCTACCCGGATCAAATGGGATTCATCCTAGGCAGGGAAGTGAGGGATAATACCATAAGAGCCCTGAACCTCATAGCACACGTCAGAGCACAGAAGATCCCAGTCCTACTCCTGTCCACAGATGCGGAGAAAGCATTCGACAGGGTGGACTGGGACCTGATGTTCGAAACTCTTTGCTCCCTCGGCATTGGACTGAAATACCTTACCTGGGTGACGGTGCTATATACCAACCCAACGGCACGTTCAACGGCGTGCTGACAGACCTGTCCAGATACATAACGGGACCAGACAAGGCTGCCCACTCTCGCCCATACTCTTTGCACTGACTCTAGAGCCCTTCCTGAACAGGATCCGACATAATGCAGACATCCGAAGTCACGAACCCGGAAACCTCCCTGCGAGCAATACAGACGGAATTCGACATATATGGCCGAATCTCGAACCTCCAGATCAACTACTCAAAGTCAGAGATACTGGACCTATCCTTAAGCCCCACACTCAAACGAGCGATCCACAGACAGCACCCATACCGGTGGTTCGACCACCGGTATAAGGTATCTAGGGGTTTGGCTCACACCAAACTCGGCAGACCTCTACACACATAATTATCTCCCAATACTGAAAAAAGCAACAAAAGAACTACACAGGTGGAGATCCTACTATATCTCATGGTTGGGAAGAGTAAACACAGTCAAAATGACACTACTGCTGAAACTACTCTTTGTATTTCAAACGGTGCCAATAATCGCTCCACAAACATTAATTTCGGCACCCAAAATCAGAGGTCCGCTCCTTCATATGGAAGGGTAAATCCCCACGTATAGCACACGCCCAAGTGACCCTACCCAAACTCAGAAGAGGCCTAGTGCTCCCAGACTCCCAGACTTCGAAAAATAGTACCAAGCCGCACACCTCACCAGAATTAGCAGCTGGTCGACGGCCAGCGGCACCAAACCATGGACCCATGGACCCAACTAGAATGCACCTACCAGAGTTAACACACAGAAGGCCTCTCCCGACACATACACAGGAACAGACGCTCAAAAACACAAAGGATAGCACAATCACAAAGACAGACCACCATCATAGCAAAAGTTACGTAAAGTGCGCACCCAACTGTGAAACTGAATGTTATAATTCAAGCAACCGGAATATTATGCCTCTGCGCAGGCAACAACATGCATACCTACTCGTGTACCGATAACTACGCCTCTGCGCAGGCACCTACCCGCTTAACCACAAATACGTTTGCATTGAAATATATGTTGTGAATCCAATAAACATATTTAAAACAATAAAGCTTACGGAATTTTTATTTAACATTCTCTCGTAAATATAACAGTACACCCATGTACCAGTTTTACAGGTGTTTTAGGGAAGTAACAGGGCCAAATATATTAGATGCCCATTTAAAATTTGGAAAATTGATGGTGTTTTTCTGGGCCCATGTCGCTTTTGATAGAGTATGGCAGTCTGGATAATACAATTTCCACCATGATCTTTGATTAAATATATTGTTTGGAATATTTTTTATATATTTATAAAAATATTTTTATATTTCATATATTTTCTCTGACACTGTAAAATCCTCTGGTAAACAGTCAAAAGAAGCAGTCTTAGCAATGAAATGTAAAACCTTGCAGTTTCTCAAAAACTGCATTTTACATTGCAGGTCTAATGGGGTCAGGGATGTCGCACCCAGACCACTTCATCTCATTGGTTGATTACAGTGTCCCTTTAAGGAACAGGAAGGTGCTCTCTGAGTCTTCTGTGTCATTTTTTGTCAGTTCCTATTTCCAAGTCAGTTTGTTTTTTATATCCATTTCAGTTCAGATTATGGGCATTTATGAGATCTATAGTTTTATAAGAGTTCTACAAGAATTCAGGAATCATAACATATTCATATTACATTGCCTGGCACCACACTTTAACAGCAGGAGAAGCACCACTGAGTCACTGTCTAAGCAGTCTGAAGTCAGCAGCACAACTTCTTGCTGAGCTCAGATTGTAATAAAATAATATACAACTTCCACCTGTTCACCTGCGGAAATAACAAATGAACTTAGCTTTTGGATACTTGCTTCCCTCAAGTTTCCTCCCAAAAAGGGTAACCATATGCAGGATAGTATAAAATACAAACAACATAGGGATCCAGCTGGTATCACTAAAACATAAATAAAATACAACATAGTATAATACTATTATAGGCTCTCAATCACCCAACACTTAATGGTTACACTCACATATTAGGTGCCTCCCCTATAGCTGTGGGGGGTATATCACACTACCGACAGTAGTTCCAATCCAGATACCGGGAAGGTCACACACTCCAAATGGTATGGATGTAAAAATATTTATTTGCATAAATTGCTAAAATAGAATCATTTAAAAAATGGTTATACACATTTCGTTCCATTCAGGGAACTTCCTCAGGGACCAATATTATAAGAATATAATAAAATACACTAAAATATACAATCAAGTGTACCAACAAGCCTAATACTCAGATTGTCACTGATTTATCCAGAACTGAGAGGATGTCACATCCCTGTGTCAACCTATCTCAGAATTAATGTGGACCTTTTTCCCCACGTTAACAGGGATGCAACAGACTTGCTCTGAGGGTGACTAGAAGAAGCTAAGTCTTTGGGACTCTTCAAAAATGACAGGTCATGGATTACAAAACATCTGCAAAATCTAATCATTACCCTGCAATAGCCGGCCCACTGAAAACATAAGAAAAAAAGCTTCCCATTATAAGGCTTGATATATTTAGCAACTGCTTCTAAAATAGTGTTGTAACCACCAGGGCTGCCATCAGAAATGTTGGGGCCCCTGACACAGCTCAAGGTCTGGGCCCCCCGGTGCCTGCACCCGAGTCCACCCAAAGTGCTGCCCCCTCCCGAATCCGCTCACAGGGATGCAGTGTCTACAGGGCCGGTGCAAGGATTTTTGCCGCCCTAGGCAAAAGTAAAGTTTGCCGCCCCTCCATGTGACATCACAATGCCCCACCCATGTGATCTGCCATGTTAACTAACACCAGTGCTGCAGTGCCACCGTGTTTACATTAAAAGGCCTGCAGGGACAGGCTAGACACCAGAACCACTACATAAAGCTGCAGTGGTTCTGGGGACTATAGTGTCCCTTTAATGTGAGGTAAATTAGAGATTAGTGCCACGAATAATATACTAGATTGCCTACTTACAACCAGATGAGGATGATGATGATGGGCTCTAGCTGCCGTCTGGTCTGGTGTACAACAGGCTCTCTGGAGGCGGTTTTTGGAGGGCCCTTTACACAGCTCAATGTCTGGGTCCCAGGGTCCACCTTCATGTTCCACCAATGAGTTTGTTCACAGGGAGTGGAGTGTGTGTGTGTGGGGGATGTCCTGATGTGTGTAAGGAATGCATTGTGTGAATCTGTGTAAGGGCTGCAAGATGAGTTTGTGTATGTATGGGATGCAGTGTGTGCGTCTGTAAGGGATGCATTGAGTGTGTGTAAGGGGTGCATTGTGTGTTGCTGTGTGTAAGGGATGCATTGCTTGTGTACGTGTATCTGTGTGTAATGCATTGTGTGTTTTTCTGTGTGCAAGGGGTGCATTGTGTGTGATGGATGTCAATCTCTCCCCCTCCCCCCGTCAATTTCCTTCTTCCCCCCTCCCTCTCATTTCCTTCCTCTCCCCGTCCCTCAAATTTCCTTCCTCTCTCCCCTCCCTCAAATTTAATTCCTCTCCCCCTCAAATTCCATTCCTCTCCCCCTCAAATTCCATTCCTCTCTCCCCTCAAATTTCATTCCTCTCCCCCCTCCCTCAAATTTCATTCCTTCCTCCCCCTCTCCTCAAATTTCATTCCTTCCCCCCCTCCCATTTCATTTCTTCTCCTTCCCCCCCTCCCATTTCATTCTTTCCCCCCCATTTCATTCTTTTCCCCCATTTCATTCCTTCCCCCCCCCATTTCATTCCTTCCTCCCCTTCATTCCTTCCCCTCCCTCGAATTTCATTCCTCCTACCCCCCCTGACACTGGCGGCGGGCGGGCAGGCCGGCGCGCGAGGGAGCACTCTCTGTGTGCTTCCTCTTCAGCTCCCTCGCGCGCCGCGTACTGATGCCGGAGCCGGAAGATGACGTCATCTTCCGGCTCCGGCATCAGTACGGTGCGCGAGGGAGCTGAAGAGGAAGCACACAGAGAGTGCTCCCTCGCGCGCCGGCCCGCCGGGTGTCAGCAGGGCCAGCCTTGGGGGGGCCCTGACGTGGCCGCCTCCTGGGCCCCCCAGGAGAAGAGGCTGGCCCTGTGGGTATATACTGGGGTCGCAGGGCCCCCTGCGACCCGGTATGTACCCACTGAATGTGGGGCCCGGACGACCTGAGCAGTCCGGGCCCCCCAGGACCGCCGGGCCCATGACAACCGTTGCGGTTGTCATGCCCTGATGGCGGCCCTGGTAACCACTACTAGGGCCCACTAATAAATCTCCTTGAATGATGCATATTTGCAAGTTGATTAAGAGAGAAAAAATGTAATGCACACAAACCTTTCCTGTGTATTTTTTTAAATTTCTACCTGTAAATAGCATCCTGCAAATAAAGCCATTAGATTTTTCTCTCTTACCCTCTCTTTCTCAATGCAGCCAC